CTACCAAACAATATTTATCTATCAACATACGCTGATGACATCTGCATCTGGACAAATGCAGTAACTCGCCTGCAGTTACGAGCGAGAATACAGAGAGCTGCTACTGCAACTACTTTGTATCTACGCATTCGAGACCTGGAAATTTCCTCCGGAAAGTGCGCTCTTCTGGCATTTACGCGCAAACCCATGTCGAATTACAGAGTGTCAATTAACGGTCAAAATATACCAAATCGTCGATCTCACAAATTTCTGGGTGTCATAGTCGACAGAGACATGTCATGGAGCCCTCATGTGTCGTATTTGAAAAAGCGATTGACAGGCATATGCCATCTTTTCAAGTTTCTCGCTGGAAAGACTTGAGGAATGCAGCCTAATGCTATGTTACGACTGTACAAGGTGCTTTTCCTTGGCTTTTTATGATACAGTCTGTCTGCATTATCAAACGCCAGCAAAACAAGTCGACGCATGATACAAAGCGTTCAGGCACAGGCGCTTCGAATATGTCTAGGTCTGCCTCACGGTGCCTCAACAATGGCGACTATAGCTATAGCCAAAGACCACCTCGTGCAGACACATATTGAAATTGAAGCTTTGAGGACACACATAAGGCATGTGGGCCGGACTCCCCATCACCACCTAGCCTCTCTACCAGTGGATAAACCTCATACTTCCTTTTGTCGAACAATAACTACACATGGTGACTCCCTACCAACTGGTTTTACGCCCGCGGCGATATCTTCAATTCCTCCATGGTGCCTCAAACAGCCAGTCATCAACCTGACAATACCAGGCATCCAGAAAAAACGAGATTTCTCAATACCAGTCCTCAAGCAGCTCGCCTTACTTCTGCTGTACGAGAAGTACCAAAACTGCACCCACGTCTAGACTGACGGCTCCGTCCTGCCAAACAGCTCAACAGCGGCGGTCGTTATTCCAACGCATGCCACAACGATCAAATTCAGGACAGCTCATGCAACCACAACAACGGCAGCAGAGCTTGCAGCGCTTCGCGCTGCGCTGCGTTTCATTAACGACCAAAGCACGCAACGGTGGACGATTTTCTGCGACTGCAAGGCGGCACTGCAGTCACTTCTGTCAAATCTACGCCGTGGTCCCCACGAGCAGTTGGTATTTGAAACAGCAGAAATGCTACACCACATAACAGAGAAAGGGCACCACGTTATATTTCAGTGGTTGTCAAGCCACTGTGGAATTATCGGTAACGAACGAGCTGATCAAGCTGGCCGTTCAGCCCATACAAAAGACAACGACCAGTCAATACCTCTCTCAAGGACGGACGCTGCTAGGAGGCTCCGCATTCTTGCTCGCCAACGCTCCATGGCTCTTTGGAACGAGCCTCTCTTTACGCATGCAAGATTACGATCCCTTGATCCAACGTTAAGCATGCAGCTTCCAACAAAAATTCGACGAGGCGACGCTAGTGCTCTGTGCACACTATGGTTGGGAGTCGCGTTTACCCGTGCGTACGCGTTCCGCATAGGTATGGCCGACACCGCCGACTGTGCACACTGCGGAGATGAAGAAACAATTCGACATATCCTGTGTGGCTGCCCAAAATACAACCTGGAAAGACAACACCTTTCTAATAAACTAAAAAGGTTAGATGACCAGCTGCTGTCAGAAGAAAGTATACTGCGCCATCGTCATGACTCATCGTCACAGAAGAAAGCCGTGCAAGCGCTACTGGGCTTCTTACGAACTACTGGCCTGTCGGAACGCCTCTGAGCGGACTGATTTTGTGTATGCGTGTGTGTCGGTGTTTTTCTCTTATTTATTTTTAACTCTTCCTTTCTCTTTCAACCCCCTTGTAGGGTAGCATACCGGATACTAGCATCTGGTTAACCTCCCTGCCTTCCTTTTTTCTCGTTTCTCTCTCTCTCTCTCTGTACACTATGGCCAAAATACCGAACGCTGTTTGCGAAGCTTTTCATTCTGTTTAATGCAAAATGAAACATGATACAGTAGAATAGTCACAACTTAGTATTACGTTTACTTAGTGTAGACCAATACAGTTTAGCGAGGATATTAATGTTTTTTTACGTTCTCTCTAGCTGGGTCGTAAGTATCACCGTTCTGTATAACTAATGCCAATCAATAACCGCAGTAAAGTCATAAGCTTTAAGAGATGTATAGTTAAGAAAGAATTTGTTTTTTTTTCAAGTTTTTTTTCACTGTAAGCATGTAAAATGGTACAAAAGAACAATTTGATGCCAAATGATTGCGCAATCTCCTCAAAAAACTAGGCCGTGGAGATTTGGAAAATATGCATCTCTTTTGTTTCACTTTCTGTGTGTTCAAAACTGAAACGATGTCGCGAACAGCTGCGCATATTTTGGAACGAGCGTAATATGAGTCCTAGTGGCATTGTAGTTTTCTCTGGTCGTTTTTCATTGAATTAGGGGGTTTCTTAGTTTTTATTTGACAAATTTTGAAAAGTGAAGCCATTTAGCTCGTCCTCCTCCTCTTTCCATCACAGAGGCCGCGTAGACATTAGGCGCATGATTGAGATCTGCACCGACAGATGGTGCAACCATCCTGTAGCAATTGACATGAGCACAGCATATGCACTTTGAATTCAGTTATTCGGTAAATATACATTAATTATACCGGCAGCTGATCAGTCCTTATATTAACAAAATGTATGCCTTTATTTTGTGCATCTTATACAGTCCTTAACTCGAATCATTTACTTTTATATGAACTTTTATTTGTACCTCAAGTTACCCATCTATTGGTATCATGAGTCATGACATTCGTGCCAACACTCTACTTCTGGTTGGCTGGAGGCCAATTCCAATGTGCTCCTTGAAAAACGTAATGTCTGTAAAGGCTAGCGCCATAACCGGCCCAATAAAATACGTTGCTTGCCTGGTAGCCACATGACCAATTAATATATAATTACCGCGCTGCAGAGTAACAAACGCGTGCAACGTAACAAAAATGTGTTTTCTTCATCGTCTAGAAAATTTTGACAGCCCAGAAAAACACAGATAGACAAAAGGGAGGCGAAACGCACTTTTGTGCGTCCAAACTTTTCCGCGCTGTTGAAAAATTTTTTAGGCTATGAATAACCAGTTCACCCAAACATTCCTGCTAATCACCTATTTTTCAGTTTACTAAAATTGTAATCTACGAGCTTAGTCAGTTATCCTGCTTTCTGTAGTCATGCCATGTGATTTAGGTAATATTTACACTGTTAGTTGAAACATTATTGCTATTTGCTTATTTATTACAACAATTTGGTAATAATAATAATAATAATAATAATAATAATAATAATAATAATAATAATAATAATAATAATATAATAGCGTAATGGTAGTGTTACCATTACGCTCTCTTTATTCATATTAGCCCACACTGCACCTTTCTGAAAGTGCTTTTTCTCCGCAGGGCGCGGGTTCAAATCCCGGCTGCGGCGGCTGTATTTCCGATGGAGGCGGAAATGTTGTAGGCCCGTGTGCTCAGATTTGGGTGCACGTTAAAGAACCCCAGGTGGTCTAAATTTCCGGAGCCCTCCACTACGGCGTCTCTCATAATCATATAGTGGTTTTGGGACGTTAAACCCCACATATCAATCAATCAATCATCAAGTGCTTTTTATATTGTAAAGATTTGGGTGCACGTTAAAGAACCCCAGGTGGTCTAAATTTCCGGAGCCCTCCACTACGGCATCTCTCATAATCATATAGTGGTTTTGGGACGTTAAACCCCACATATGAATCAATTTTTCTATTGTAATAGCAGGTATAGGGAGTGCTACAAACTATAACCCATATTTTGTATGCGAGTAATTTATACGTGGTAAATATCATCAGCCAAGGGTGTTTGTCGGTCTATTTTGTCATCGCACGGTTATTGTGCACCAATGACTTGCAGCAACTTTTTTCTTATTTTATAGCTCCGATAAAATTTATTTATTTATATTTTAATTGCTTGTTTTCAATGTTCATGGCAAGCGTCAGTTCGCTTCACTTTATGACAATGTGGCACCTTTTCATAGCTCGAAATTATTCATTGATTAAACCATATCCTCGTTCATTGTCCTCGATCCACGCGAACGTCCACCTTGCTGTAATGAGCTTTCGAAACACAGCTTAAACACGATGCACCCTGTACGTTGCCTATCTGTTAACTTTGGCCATATTGTCAGCGTGCATTTCCCTTGAACCAATAATACTTTCATTCTCTCAATATGCAGCAGCATCAAGCCGAGGGACATCATCCTGCTCTTGTTGGCCTTTGGCTTCATTATCGGCGGCTACATGATTATCAGACGTGAGAAGTTTCTATCAATTAACTTGTTTTGTCGTAAACGCGCTTCATGCTTCATGAACTTGTGCTTTGCCATTCGTAGCCGTGAGTAGTCGTTGCGCCTTCTGATGCCAGAACAAGTCTTGTGGCGGCCGAAAGCTCTTTATGATGCCACCCGTTAAGCACAACGAGGGGCGACAAAAGGCATGGTTGCATAGAATCCGAAAAGAGAACTTCAGGCCGACATTTTCGAATCCACTTTGCGAAGTTTCGCGTTTCTAATTATGAATATGGTTCGATGTTTGTTCAATGCCTGCTTTAACGCCATAGACGAGTCGTGGTTGATTGGGCAGGACGTTGCGATCACTCACTCAGGTTTCATTAAAGCTTCTGCGGGTTTTTTTTTTTTTTGTCAACGATACATGTTTACATGTTCTGCTTGTCGTTATGCGCGGACTGGTTTGAGTTCGCCGTACTGATTTGTGCGCTAAGCGTGTAAGCGGAAAGACGCTCTATATTGTAATCGTGAAAATTCAGATATTTTGCGCTGCTGTTTTGAATGAACAGAGCTGGAGTGCAGCAACTCGCATTAAAATTGGTTCTCTCCGTTGGTATATGTTGCGTGCTGGTATATTTAAGAGTAAATCGCTCTCTGTGGCTCCTTTACGTTGACCGTTTAGCCGGGGGACTCGCGATGCGAGGGAAGCTATGCAACGCGTAGATGCCTTCGAGTCATTGGGTGGCCTACCGCTGATCCCAGGAGCCATGCTGCCCTTGCCCTTGCCGACGGCCTGCTGCTCGCGCTGAAGCGGACCGGACATCCCTCCTTACACACCACACACTATTTCTCCTATCCTCTTTCATCCCCCTCCACCCCACCCCAAAGGCACTGCGCCGTGTCGCCTGTAGGCAGACAGAAATTAGGTGCCTTCTTCATTTTCCTCATGAACCACTAACAACAAACAACATTGGGTGCGTTCATCGTTTAGGAACCTCACATATACGTGTCATTTTGCTCTCGCGTAGTAATCGCGCATGGTGGCAAGCGAGTTCGTTAATACGCTGGCTCATTTTTTCAGCTATATAGTGCGTATGCGAGACACGTCCGCAAGGCGCACTTCTGAAATATGATCGGTGCGTCTAACCACTTCACGAAACAACCACGGCCGTTTGAATGTATCAACCATAAATGATGCGCGCTTTCTGACACGTTATTGAGGCCTTAGATGCCACACCAAACACAGAAATTCGCCCCGCCACGGGCTAAGGTACTCGGCTGCTGGCCCGCAGGTCGCGGGATCAAATCCCGGCTGGGGTGGCTGCATTTCCGATGGAGGCGAAAATGTTGTAGATCCGTGTGCTCAGATTTGGGTGCACATTAAGGAACCTCGGGGGATCGAAATTTCTGGAGCCCTTCACGACGGCATCTCTCATAATTATATGGTGGTTTTGGGACGTTAAACCTCTTATATAAATCAATCAAACACTAAAATTGGCCCTGCACAACCAGTGAATGGTTGTGCGATGCAAGCAGCCTGTTTTTTTTTTTTCGATCAAGAAAGTCAAGCAGATGCTGCCTGCGTTGGCGTTGAAAAGCGAGAGAAGAGGAGAGACACGCATGCGCAATGGTGGTGTGAACGTCTCGGGGAGGATGCCTAGAGAAGAGAGGGGGGGGGGGGCGAATTGGAGAAAATAAGCGTAGCCGCGCGACTCCGGGAACATTGACCGTGGTCACGGAACATTGCCCCGAGCAAGAGATGCCTTGCATTTAAAAAAAAATGCGGGGGGGGGGGGGGGTGTTGTATGAAGAGGGGTATAACTGTTTAAGGATTACGCTATCGCTATTTTGGTGGATCTTAAACGAGAAGCGGTCGTCATAGTAAAGGGAAGTTTGCAAAATCTGTGCGATGGAAGTGACTGTTTGGGAGCGCGCTCCCTCCGTGATCAGAACATGTCAAAATGGCTGATTGAGTCAGTTGGTAATTCATGATCCTTGAAATAGGAGCACGTGGTTTAAACAGGAACTTAAAACATGATCCTTGAAATAGGAGCACGTGGTTTAAACAGGAACTTAAAACAAAAACAAGCGCATTCTCCTAGTCACCCTGCCACGCTGGTCGAGTGGCTAAGGTACTCGGCTACTGACACGCAGGTCGCGTGATTGAATCCAGGCTGCGGCGGCTGCATTTTCGATGTAGGCGAAAAAGCTGTAGGCCCGTGTGCTCAGATTTAGGTGCACGCTAAAGAACCCCAGGTGGTTGAAATTTCCGTAGCCCTTCACTATGGCGTCTCTCAATCGTATGTTGGCTTTGGGACGTTAAACCCCACATACCATTCACCTTGTCTTCATTAAAGGTTCCTAAACAACCTCTGAAAATACGATGAAATGATGCGTTATTCTGTCTCGGTGATCCCGGCCTTGGCGGCTGCATTTCCGATGGAGGCGGAAATGTTGTAGGCCCGTGTGCTCAGATTTGGGTGCACGTTAAATAACCCCATGTGATCGAAATTTCCGGAGCCCTCCATTACGCGTTGTCTTTCCTAATCATATGGTGGTTTTGGGACGTTAAACTTCACATATCATCATTCTGTACCGGTGTTCCCCGTCTTTGTGCCACAATTCGTGACGGCAGCTGTTGGTTCACGTGACGTCAAAAGAAAATAAGCACCCGAATTGATGGATATGCGGGGTTTAATGCCCCGAAAGCACCATATGATTATGATAGACGCCGTAGTGGAGGGCTCCGGAAATTTAGACCACCTGGGGTTCTTTAACGTGCACCCAAATCTGAGTACACGGGCCGGGCCTACAACATTTCCGCCTCCATCGGAAATGCAGCCGCCGCAGCCGGGAATAAGCACCCGAAGGGTCGATATATGAGATATATGTTGTGAATTATCTCCTATGCACTGCCATGCAGTTGCGTGCCCGTTATGCCTTGTCTCGCATGATTATTGTGCGCGATAAACTGATTACGCTTTGTTTTCTGGGTCTGTGGTGGTGCAAGCGAATATAGCCACGTGTAGTCGAAAAGCGTGTAATCTTGACAGGCTAAACGCTTACTGCTGACATTCCACGTGTTCTTTCTTTTCTTTTTTGCAAAATAAGTGGCGAGAATGAGATACTGCTTGTAGGAAGGCGGCAAACTACTGTGTCGCTCTTGAATTCGATGTGGTTTAGGTTGAGGAACACCCTCAGTCCCTGTTCAAACAAGCGCTCGCATTTCAAGTTACCGGAGCACTAGTTTCTACAAACTCCACAAGTATTCACCCACTAAATGTGGTGGCGATCGTTCTCGCAGAGCAAGACAAAAGAAGAAACATCGTCCGCATCGCTGCGAAAACTTCGACGCCAGTGTCGACCAGGAACAAGTGTTTTGGTGTTGGCAACCAGAACGCAACGACGCTGTTACCTGCGAAAAAGGCACGCCGACGAGGACACTTCATACGTTTCGACAGCAAAGTAGGTCAGTATCGGAGAAATAATAACAGTTGTGGTTTTGCATACCAAAAGCACCACAGGGTTATCATAGACGCCGTAGTAGAGCACTCTGGAAATTTCGACAATTTGTTGTTCTTTGACATACGTGTACCTAAATCTAAGTACACTGGAGCCATAACGCTGAAAACACAGGGACCAAAAAAAAAAAAAAAAAAGAGGACCTGGCGTGCGTAGCAGACAGGACTTCCTTGGTTTCTGTGTTTTCAGTGCTATGACTTCATTGAGCGTAACGAACCAACTATAGCCTATAAAAATATGTTCTCTCAAGTACACGGGCCTCTATAGCATTTCACCTCTATATAAATACCGCCTTCGTGGCCGGCATTTGGCCTAGCGTTCTCGAATTGAATTTTATTTGTCTTGAATTCGTTACAGGAGCAGGGGTAAAACCTGAAGGCTGCACAGCCTGTCAGCCTTCGGAGCAGCAGTCGAGTACCAGTACCACTAGATAACAGCAGTGGGTGCAATTTCTAGTTTACAGTCCGCCTTCGCTACGACTTCGCGTTTTATATATATATATATATATATATATATATATATATATATATATATATATATATATATATATACAAACCCTCCACGCTGATCTCAGGAGTTTTGATACTCGACTGACGACACGAAGGTCGAATGATCGAATCCCAGCCGCATTTTGATGGAGGCGACATGCCGGAAGCCCCTTTAGTTATATTTAGACAATAAACCCCAGGTATTATCTAAATTTCCCGATATATTCCGTATAAGGTATACCTCATAAGCTATATGATTTTGTGACGTAAAACCAAACCAATTATTATTATAGACTATGAACTTCCTATATTTTTATCATAGCCGTGTGAAATGCACAGAGTAATGCTCATGATCCCGAAAGCCAGGAATTCTGGGCAAGTAAATCAGATGCAGTAAAGGTAAACGTCACGTGATTTCGAGAGGTATGCGGCATAGCCACATAAGGAGGCACCAAGATTTGATTTTTTTTTTTGCACCGGTTCTTAGTGGCGTGTGCAATCGGTGTGTTTTTACGTATACTAATAGTTGTTTATGGCACTGTGTTCCATGGTTGCTAGCTTTGCCCTTTCTTTGTTCTGTACTGAAGGTTGTTATTCCAATAGACGCTTCCCAAACTGCGACCATCTGCCCCTATTGCTGGCATTTTATACCAACATTCTAGGCAATATGCTTAAAATATCATGTTTTATTCTCACTAATTATGACTCCTTATTTAAATCTCAGCAAACTGTTGGTCAGTGCTGCGCTTGCCGAACATAAGCTTTGGCCTGTTTTCGTGCAGCAGATGGAGCGCACTTTTTAAATTCTACTGTTCCGAAGGAAGCATCAGCGTTGACCGACAGCAAAAAATAAATAAATAAACGTATAAATTAAAAGATATAAATGCAGCAAAATATATAACCATAAATCTTCAATTCGAGCGTGAATCGACTCCATGGCAAGCTGGCGTTCCAACGCTCACGCTCGAGATGGCTTCAGGAAAAAAAACATCATATAAATGTTAAGCATGTAGTGCTAGGGGTGTCTAACAGACGTAATATTTCTCGATAGAAGGGTAGGATTTCACTAGGCGTCAAAGCAGATAAGTTAGGCAACGAGTGAGTGCACGGTTTAAAGGTTCAGGCATAATTATGATAAAGCGCCGAGGCATAATTAATTATCAGCAGTAGCAACAGCCCCAAAAAAGGCGGCCGGTCTGCAGGTAAACGTGTTGCCTTACGGACACGTAGTGAGTAAGTGCTTTCCGAATTATTAAAAAGGAATAATTATGACGCATGCAAGCAATTTGCGACTGTACTTGCTGTACGAATTCTATAGGAATATTTGAAAGGCTGAATGTTACGCGTGCAGACGTTCCTATCTTTTCGGAGCGGCTACTGAATAGAGAAGACATGCTATAGCTATTACCATGCGAACGGGAGAAGGTCACGTTACCATGTGCTACTCTTGAAGGTGAAACTAAAGAGTCCCACAACTTTTTTTTATATAAACACCAGCAATAATCCATATGTGACTATATTTCGCGCTTTATGTGCGTTTCTTCATGCATATGAAAAAAGCCGGCGCATGTTGGGAAAAAATCCCGAAGGCTTTCGTAAGCTACTAAGCCGAAAATTGCGAAAATGTGTTCTCGTAGAGATTTTTTTTTGTGCTTTTAGCTCCTTTCTATGGACGGGAGGATATGCGATAATTTTGTGTCGTGCTTGCGTAGAAAAAAGTATGAAAGCTACCATAACATTTAAGCATCCGAAACCTCGTTTAGAGAAAAGGGACAGTTATCTTAATTAACTCCGATTAAACAGTGGTCTTTAA